TTTTTCTTTGTGTTAAAAATAAATAAATAAATAAATAAATAAATAACCCACATATTTTTGTGTCAAAAATATGTGTTTCCAGTATGCCCTTCTGATTGGTTAGGAATGTTTTCAGATTTTATCAAGGGTTTCATCTCATATCTCATTGCAATGTATTATATATTATTTTGAATTGTATGAATTGCTTATCCTATGTGATATTTGATGTGAGTTTGCTAGTATGGTTATACAGATAGGTTTTTGCATCCAAGTTTGGGGGAGACATCTTTCCTACTGGATCATTACCCGACTTCATACTCTTTACCATCACGGTATACTCTTTCCATTATTTTTCATTATTCTCATTGCACATTGAGGACAATGTACAGTTTAAGTTTGGGGGTAAAGTCATCATGATTCATTCTATTTAAGTTAAGCTTTAAATGCATGATGAGATTTGAGATGTGTTTGGCAATGATTTCGAACTTTTGTAGTATAATTCCTTTGAAAAGCAAGTTGTTAGGGTCTAATACTTCCTGTATGCTCTTGGATGCCATTTAGGGGTTAATTTTTAATTTTTGATATCATGTTTGCTCTTGTGGTACACATCATCTTGTTGGTTGAAAATGCTTTGAGAGTTGATTCTAGAATTCTACACTTGCACTTGCGCACACTAGCATTCAATTTGTGGGGTACATGCTTAGTTGATTATTGTCTCGGTTTATCCCAATTGAGCTAGTATGCTTTGAAAGCTTTCATTCTTGGTAAAATGACCTTGTAAAGAAAAGAAATAAAAGCACTCACCAAAGGTGAGGAATAAAAAAAAAAAAAAAAAAAAAAAACTGCATTCTTTCAACATGTCAACTGATTAAAAAGGAAGACAAGGAAAGAATGTAAGATGTATGATTAGTTTGACTTCGTAGCCTAACTATTCCGAGTCATTACGCCCTTAGGAGTGTCTTTACACTTAACGCCCTAAGACCATCTGGTTTAGGAGTCGTTGGCTCAACGCTTGTTACATAGGGTGATTAGAGAGCTTAAAGAACTTGGACATTGCACATGGTCATACATAAAATAAAATAAACAAAAAAAAAAAAAAAAAATGTTTGTTTGAATAATAAGGTTCATTCAATGTCTTGATGTCTGGTACTATATTTGTATGCTAGTTTGAGGGTAAGGCTACGCCATTACTTTGATTTGCTAGAATAGCAACACATTTTGATATTGGTTCACTCAAAAAGGATGATAGAATTGATTCAATTTGCATGATTAATTCCTTGATGTGTGGAGGACCATTCTTGCTTACATAATGTTGAAATGTTGAGAATAGCTTAGAAATGGCAGAATTTGCATACTTGAGGTAGTCTACTTTCAACACTTGTTTAATATGTGTCGTTGATTCTCAAGTAAGAAAGAGTTTTTGATGTTTGTGGGTATCATTTCTGAAAACCCTCACGAAACTTCACTCGTCCACTAGGGGTAACCTAGGGGTTTAAAAGGCTTGTTGCATATGCTAAATGCAACCGTGATCCCTACGAAAGTGGTGTTATCTCTATTTGTTTTATTAATTCATAGTTGTATATATGTTTATTTCATTTCCATGCAGTAGTTCATTGCTAGGGACTAGCAATATCTAAGTTTGGGGGCGTGATAAGGGCTTAAATGTTGCACATTTCAGCACCTAAGTTAGGGTATTTCAGTCTTTGCATCTATCTTAATTTCATGTTTTAGTCCTAATTTATGTTTATGTGTATTTCAGGGCAATAAAGTTAAAATGAGCTAAGAACGGTTCATTAAAGCCTTTTTAGAGTCAAGCAAAGATATTCAGAAAAAGCTTAAAAAATGGCAAAAAAGATATCGCAGTCCATTGCTCGTATAGTGTGTTTATTCTTCAAAAGCGATCAATCTCAGGCCTTTGATGATGTTCCCAAAGATGAAGAAGCAAACTAATGAGCTCGGGGCCAAAATGGAGCTAAATAGGGCTTAAAGGAAGTCCTGGGGGATCGATCCCCCAGGACTTGGCAACATTACAGATTTTTTTTTTAATTGTTTGGGCTTATTTTGTGAACTATTGGGCTTTAATAGGATTGTTACTTAAGGCCCAGTGAGCCATTAGATTAGGGTTAGTATTTATTTTATTTAGGTGAATATTATAATTTTTATTAAGTTTGATATTATTTTTTATTCTGTACCGTGATATCACGTTCTCTCTGAGGGAAAAAGGAAAAGCTAGGGTTTGAAGAACATTTTTACAGAGGCTTTGTCTATAATTGAAGGAAGAAGAAGAAGGAGCCAAAAGATGGAGATGGAGCTTGTTGACACCATGATCATCTTCTCCATGAGCTAGTTCTTCACTTAGGGCTTGGATGAGCCCTAAGTTCATGTAACCTAAACCTTTGTTTTTCTTTTCTTGGGGAATTATTAAGTTGTAATTAAATATTTGGCCTTGTGATTTATTTATATATACATGCTTGATTTGACAAATTAGGGCTTGTATTGATTAATTCTTCCATTGAAATCTCCAAGTTGATTGTATGTCTATATATGATTAATTAGGGATTTTATTCTTCATTAGATGTTTGAATATTTATTCTTCCATTGATTCTATATGAAAATTGCATGTCTATGTGTGATTGATTTAGAATTATACTCTACACTAGATACTTCTTTTAGTTGTGTTTAGTGATGGCCATAGCATGAGACTTAGTTGATACAATTGTAAATTAATTTGATAGATAAAGGCTTAATCTTGATGGGTTGTTCTACAAATTAGCTTATTGTTGTTAGGTAATTGTAGTAAAGTAGGCAATTTGTGCTTGATTATGTTAATCCATACTTCTAATTACAATTAGTATTATCCTCTTGATTGATGTGTGCTTTTATCGAATACATTTGTGAATGTGTATGGTGGGTTATGACGTAGTCTTGAATGGGTTCTACACTTTAGTTTAATTGTCATTAGGTAAACAATTCATTCTTGATGTTGATAATCTATGCTTACAATTGTGATTTGTGATGATAATGTGACCACATCTATAATTACACTAATGAATTCCCCATTAATTGAAAGCATATGGTTAATTGCATGAGCTTAGTGGTGAATCCTAACCCTAAGATTCTCTTCATATCTCTTTAATTCTTAGTTTAATTTAATTTAATTTACTTGCATTGTCATTTCTATTTCCATGCTTTCGATTTAACTCTAGTTTAATCACTTCACCAAAAATCTTTTTCTCTCTCTCTCTCTTTCTCTCTCTCTCTCTCTCTTATGCAATCTCATTAGCACTAAAATCAAGTTTAATCCCAACACGTGTTCAATCCCTTGGGTTCGATCCCTACTCACTTCATACTACATAGTATAAGTGTTTAGTGGTTTTATAAATTTTAAAATATGATGCCCACTTGACATTATTTCTAAACCTAAAGTGTTGTGCATTATTTTGTGCACACGCTCGGGTCGCATCAGTTGCTGAGCTTATTGATGGTGCTAGTAACCGGTGGCGTATCGAGGTGCTGCGACAATTTTTTTCTCCAGATGAGCTTTTGCGTATATCTCAGATCTCTTTACATCATGGGCCAATAGAGGATGTTCCAATTTGGAATAGTGATGCCTCAAGAAGGTTTTTGGTTAAGTCCGCTTACCAACTGGCTGTTTCTCTTTATTATCCGAATTTGAGGACTGAAAGAAGGGAGAATAAGCATAGGGTGGCTAGTAAGGTTTGGAGTCAGTTATGGCGTTTAGCTGTGCCTTCTAAGGTTAAGCATTTTATTTGGAAGTACTGCTATGATGCTATCCCTACTGGGGCTGCACTAGTTCTGCGAGGTTGCTTGTCGGATCCAATATACCCGAGGTGTGGGTTGGAGGTCGAGGATATTATCCATATTTTTTCCGGTGCGATCACTCTGTTCAGGTATGGAAGCTCTCTCCTCTTCGCTGAGATTTTTCTTAGCATTATCCTTCTTCTTTTATAGGTTGGTGGGAGAGTCTTTCGAGCGATTCTTTGATTTCCAAGGAGAATAGAGAAGTAGCGGGAGGGTTGTCTGCTTTTTGTTTGTGGATGATTTGGAAGGTTAGAAATAAAGTGGTGTTTGAAAAGGAAGTTTGGGATCCTTTCGTGGTGGCTACTCTAGCTACGAATCAGATGTGGGAATTTCTGGATGTGCATTACAAGTGCCAGGAAATTGATTATTCTATGAGTTGTCTTGGGTCCTCTAATAGATGGATATACCCGTCACCTGGTCTAATTAAATGTAATGTGGATGCTAGTTTTTCAAAATCATCTTTGCGAGGAGGTGGAGGGGCAGTTTTTCGGAGTTCTGATGGATCTGTTTGTCAAGCAGTAATTTTTAAACCGGTCTCTTCATTGTCTGTGAGTGAAGCTAAAGCTTTTGCTTTGTCTCGTGCTGTGTTTTAGGCCAAAATGTTTGATTTTCAACATGTCTGCTTTGAGACGGATGCTAAAATGGTGTTGGAAGCTATTGTGGCTGTGCGATATGGTGATGGGGAGTGCTTTCCTTTGGTGTCTGAGCTACGAAATGAGCTGTATGTTTGTTCTTCATTTTCCTTAGCTCATGTTCGAAGGGAAGGTAATAAGGTGGCGCATGTTCTTGTTGGTCTATTGAGGGGTGATATGGAGGAAGATTTGGTGCGTCATTCGTTCCCAGCATTCATCTCTAGGCTTTTGGCAGTTGATGCGGCTGGTTGCATATGAGGGTTGGCTTGTGTTTTTTTGTTGTTTTTGTGTAGTTGTTGCCTAAAAAAAAAAAGAAATAATAATAATAATAATAATAATAATAATTTTAATCAGAATCGAAATATGAGGTAAATAAAAAATGAATTAAAACATTTAATCTGATATTCCTTTAGCAATCCGAATCTAATAATAATAAGTTAACTTAACCCAACGAAGATGAATTTAATCCATCGAATCAGTTGACATGCCTACACTCAACTTGAAAATATGTGTTTTACACGCGTTGGAGGCAAGATACATAATAGGTATCATCCTTTAAAAAGTAGAGGGCGGTAACTACAGTAAAAGTTAGGACTTTCTTTGTATGCAAAAGGTAAAGCATTAACTTTAAAATAAAATATATAAAATTAAAAAAAAAAAAAAAAAAAAAAAAAAAACTGCTTTTTTCCATAATATTTAGGACCCTCTAGATTCCAACCCACTTTACTTTGTTGTTGAAGTCTCAAATTTTCTCATTCTCATTCTAACACAATCAACCCTCACCCCATGGGAGGTATGACCTTTAATCTAATTTTCAAATTTTAGTTTCAGTTCAGTTTCAATTTAACTAATTCAGGGAAAGTCATGTAGATTATGTGCTTGTATCTGTGTCTGTGTGCAGTAGATTTGAATCATTTGATTCCATTGTAGGGTTTTTATTTTTTTGCCCTTTTAATATTTTATTGTTCTTCTAAAATCATTGCTTGTTGCATCACTGATAATACAGTACGGTTAACATGGGCAATTGAGAACTTTACAAGGCTGAATACCAAGTGGGTATGCTCTGAAAGTTTCTATGTTGGAGGATACAAATGGTAATTTTGATCTCTACCCTCTTTCTAGATTTAGATTTTAATCATTATGGTTGATGTTTAAGTTTGTTGTTTTTTTTTCTTCTGCATTGTGTGAAAAAGGCGTGTAATTATATATCCAAAGGGAAACAATGACGCGGACCATTTGGCGATTTATTTAGGTGTTTCGGATTCAGCAACTTTGCCATATGGGTGGACTAAATACGTAAAATACAACTTGTCTGTGATCAATCATATTGATAACAAGTCTACAGTGACTGAAGGTGTGTTCTTTACAGTTTGATGTAGAAATATCTATATATCTTGTATATATGCAAATGTAATTTCAAACATATATACATATATATATATATATATGTATGTATGTATACACACACATAGGCTTATATGTTGTGCGCAAAAATATTATTTATAGTTGCAGAGTTTGTTCTTTTTGATTGTTTTATGTTAGTAGAGGTAATTCTAATCGGTGTGTTACTAGAGGTAATTCTATATGTAGTTTAACTTACAATTATTGAATGCCACAGTTGTTGAACTAATTAGCATAAGCTTTAGGGTGGACATGTACTTGAAAAGCATATTCAATAATTCAATTATATTATATTATTACTTTAAAATAAATTAAAAAGCCTATATTGAATACTATATTACATAAAAACATTATTTTACTTTAGAAAATAAAATAATTAAATAAAATGAATATTTAGCGATGTCCATGTGTCCTTCTGTTTAGAAATCTGACACGTCAAACGCATGGATACATACTCGTATCCGACACACACACCTGAGTCCAGGTAACATAGATTCTATGTTAAATATTTCAGTGTAAGGGGAAGTGAGGCTGCCGAAATTATATTTGGAAAATATTTGTTTATCAATGTATTTATTTTATTTTTGACACGGTCTTTGAAATTGCTTGAGGTTGAATTTTCTTCTTTCATTCTTTAGAAAGGGGTAGACTTAGGAAATTCTATTGAAAACACACTATTTATTTGGTGCTGGAAAGTGTGAATATGGTATTATGTTCTTTTTTGTTCTCGATGCAGTGCATTCTAGTTTCCTGATGGTGATTATTCATGGTCCCTTTACTATTGATAATGTTGTTGTGTTTCTATCAATGTAGTTATTGGGATTAAGAGGGACATATGTTGAAATTTTAATTGGTAAAGAACTTAATTTTGGTGTTTAAAAATAAAAACATTTTATTTACTTTAAATGCCTAGCAGGTTGATATGGCATGTTACTTCATTGAATAATTGACTGATAAGCCCTTCTTAAAAAATAAAAATAAAATAAAAAAAGGAATATCACTGCAGTTCTAGGTGTAGCCTACAGCCTTTGGTGATAGTTGTGACTGTTTTCTTTATGCAGGCGGTGAAGACCAGTTCCATATACAAGCAAGTAATTGGGGTTATACAAAATTCATGCCTCTTAGTGAACTGTATGACCTTGGTAGAGGTTATATTGTGAACGATACATGTTTAGTTGAAGTTGATTTTCCTAGCTTCCGTTCAGTTGAACTTAAGGTTGATGCGGCAAACACTGCCTCGGTCAAAGGTGAAACTCCCAAGTCTACTTCTCAAGGAAATATTGATGGGAACACTAGACAGACTGCTTCTGGTACCGATACAATCCCGCCTCAGACTGATACCTTGGGCCCTCCTCCTGCCAGTAAATCAGCAACCGAAGCAATCAAGACTTTGGTCCCACCAACCACTCCAATTGTTGAAAAGGAATCAAAGGTTAAATCCCCTCAGTCCAAAGATCCGGTCAGCAGCTATGTTTTGTTTTATTTTTATCTTTGAAAGAAAAAACTTTTTGACCTGATGGAGAGTCGGTTTCTAAAAAGAAATTTTCTTTGTAATCTTTGTAGGAAGTTGAGTTGCCGAGGAGTACTCCAACGAGTGCTCCTCCTGAGTCATCTTCATTTGATGACATTGGTGGAATTTGGCATATCTTAACCAAACCCTTCGCATGGGCTCGACGTGCACTTGTCTGGTCGGGAGAGGCTTACTTATCTTATAGTTTAGGTGCTTTAGCGGTTTTTGGTTTAGTTGCTTGTTGCTTTGTCTGGTTCAATAATACCGCTTACCCTAGTGAGTTTTACGGACCCACTAGACCACAAGCTTCTCAACCTCAAGCATTTACTTTTCTAGTTAGAGATGCCTATATCTCCAAGTTGGTGTCTGCAGTAGAGACTGATGCAATCTTTGACTCCACTACCGAAGGATCGGTCACGACCTCCATTCCTCAATCAACTATTGATGAAGCCAAAAAATTCTTTATAGAGATGCTATCTCGGGACCTATCAGAAATTCCTTATTTGGCCGCACGCCTTACAGAATCCATCAGAGTCTTGTCAGAGTACTGTGACCTTACTCCAGCCCAGCTTGCAGAGTTGAACACCTTTAAGGTTGAGTTTCCAACACTTTTCCAAACTTACCAGACTTCCGATCATTTTTTGAAGGAGGTCGAGGAAAAAATGGCAGAAAAGCAAGGAACAAAGAAGTCTTTGGTTGAGCAAATAAAGATTGATGCATTCGCATTCCAAATGCAGAGGGCTATTCACACGGACTTGATATGGAAGGAGGCCAATCTGCAGGCTGAACTGACAAAGATCTCTGAGAAGAAAAGAAGTGCTGAGAAAGAGATGAAGCTACTGCATGAAAAGATGGTTAATCTAGAACAGTCTAGATCCTCTGTTCTTGAGGAGATCTCAACTCTTGAGACCAAGAAGAGGACTGCGGAGAGCTCTCTGTCATCGTACCAACAAAAATGGACCAAGCTCAGGCGTATATTCATGGAACCAAACAATTAATCTCTTTTATTTGCGAGACGATAAACTTGTTGGGTACAGTGATATTGTTTATATAGGTCCTGTCATTCCATGTTTTTGGATTTTTAACTTATTTTTGGTTTGTTGGAATTGATATTCTGCACTTATTTATGGTGATTATCTTTTGCACTTGAATGCATGCAATCACAACCTGAGAGTCAGATACCCATCTTTCCTTTTTCGTCTCTTTTTTGGTTCAGTAATTTATAAATATCAATTCTTTTCGTAGGGTTGGTTTCTCAAGGTACCAGACATTTACGTACATTGAGGGACTTATATTGAATTTAAATGTGTCTCACAACCCAAAAGAGAGGAGATAATTAAGGATATCCACCAAAAAGACTAATTCAATCCATATTGGGGAGGTGTCATTTCGTCTTTGTGAATCTGGTCCAGCATGAATAGGTTCAAGAGATAAGAGAATTAAGAATAACCGCAAGAAAGACTAATTCAATCCATATAACCTACTATTACAAAACGTGGCCAGAATTTCAATTAAGGGGTGCTACAGTGATCAAATAAATCAAAATGATAAGATGACGATGTATATTGCTCAAATCAAGAGGCAAAAGAAAAAAAAAATTATTACAAAATAAGCTGCAAATCAACGAATCATATAATAAAGATAAATACTTTGACAAATATAAGAACCTATTTGTAATATTTTTATTCAATACAATTGTAGATGAATGAAAAAATTTGGAGAGAAATAAAAAGAATGAAAAAAGAGAAAAAAAAAATTATATACTACATATATCATGCATAAGTGCAAGATGAAGAAGAGAAGAAAAATGAGATTACTTTGAAAAAAAATAAAATAAAATAAAATAAAATTTGATTGAAGAAGAGAAATTTAACTTTGTTTTTGGAAGACTAAAAGAGAAATGAAAAAAATAAAAATAAAAAAAGTTAAGAATTAAAGTCGCACACTCACATGCTCCGCACTCTCACTCTCCACACACTCTGGCTCTCCCTCTAACTCCTACTTTTGTAACTTAGTTCTGTTTGTTTAGATGTAAAATATTTTTCATAAAATATATATATATATTTTATTTTTTGGTGTTTGGTTGTTGTAAAAAATTTATGAAAAAAATATTAAAACTTAATAAAAACAAGTTTTTTGACAAATTATTTTATATGCCCACCTCAACCTCAACCTCAACTTACACATTTGCCAAATACCAAAAAAATAAAAATAAAAATAAATATTTTACGAGCAAGAGATAATATTGAAAATTAAAAGTATGGACGGCATAATATAAAAAAATAAAATAAAAAACATATAGCTCCGCCCCTCATCACCCTTTTCCGGATAAACTTTTGTTGGGATTATCTTTTGCACTTGAATGGATGCATCACAACCTGAGAGTCAGAGACACGTCTTTCCTTTTTCTTCTCTTTTTTGGTTCAGTCATTTATCAATATCAATCCTTTTAATAGGGTTGTGAAGGCACCAGAAATTGCTTTCTATATTAAGAAAAAATCTACTACACTTCACACAATCTTCCTCTTTCCATTTCTCTAACTTCTATTAATAGAAGTGTATATTTGCCCTAACATCCATCTCAACATTTTCTAACTTGGGCTGATATCAAGCGGGCCCTATATTCGGGCCATAGTGGATATTGGTCTGACTTGTATTGCTGAAGAGGTTGGGCCTGGGAATGGCTGATTTGATCTTTGGGCCTGGTGGGTAGTCCTTGAAGTGGATCGACAGCCCAATAATGCTCTTGGCCTAGTGGATCGGCCCTAACGAAGCCCAATCCATTTTCTGCTCCTTTAGGTTGGTTTCTTAAGACGAGACATTTATGTATATCGCCATCCACAAGGGGAACAGGATCTCAATTAAGGGGTAGCGCAGTGTAAAAAAAATATAAATGGCTCAAATCAAGAGGCATAAGAAAAAATCATTACAAAATAATATCCTAAGAGCATCTCCAATGGAGTTTCTAAAATTCGGGTCTCCGAATTTGTCACATCAGCAAATTTCAAGTGCTACATTAGCATTTTCAAGAGCCATGTCAGCGATTTGGAATCTCTAAAGTTTAACTATCGCATGTACTCCAATGATGCATTTTCGTTTTCCAAATAATTTTTTAAATTTAAATTTTTTTTTCTTTTAACTTTTTTCTAAAGACTATATTTCTAACGGCTACATCATATACAAAATTAAAACAATACAATATATATTATTGATTATAATAATTAAAACAATACAATACTTAACAATACAATATTTATTAAGGAAAAATTTTCACTTTTTTTCATTTTTTAAAACTTTTTTGGCCCAAAAAAGCTTTTAAGACACCGTTTGTGTCAGCCAAACAGTGCCCTTAACAGCTCTTTAGTTCAATTATGTTGAGGAAAAAAAAAAAGGAAAAAAGAAAAGAAAAGAAGAAGACCAAAATAACCCAAATAACTGATTTCTAGATAATATTTCAACCAAACACGCCATTCAAATAGTAGTATGGGTTAAGCTACGGTAAGTTGGGCCACAATTAAAAACAAAAAAACACAGGCGGTCCTGCATGACAGGCCCGCGATCGCTAACAGAGTCGCTGTTTTTGGTGACCCATTTGGAGACTCCAAAATAATGGCCCACTTTTCAGCTAGTCCAATGGAGTAACATATCTCTATTTTTTGGCCCAAAATTGCTATAAATTATTTTCATTGGATACAATTAGATGAAAGAACAAAAATATGAAGAAGAGAAATAAAAAGAACAAAAAAGAGAGAAAAATAAAGAAGTATATACTACAAACATAAGTGTAAAAACGAAGAAGAATAATTATTTTGAGAAGTAGGAAAAAAAATATAATAAAAAAATTTTAAAAAAGAAAAGAAAAATGAGATAACGTTGAATTTTTTTATTTTTTATTTTGTAAAGTGGCTAGTGAATTTGTAAACTCTTGATAAATTTTAATTATAAAACTTACTTTATGACATTAATTTAATCACAATAATTTAAATTTTTTATATTTTTATGTGAGAGAGACTATGCTAAGCGGGGCCCAATTTATTTTTTTGACCTAAGTCACACAGAGCGGGAGCGAAAGTGTCAAAATCTAAATTTTTTTAGAATTAGGTTTAAATAACATTATATTAGGTAATGACATATATATTTAATATATTTTTATTTATTTAGATCCATATACAAATATATTTATGATTATTTATTCCATTAATGATATGTAATAAATAAGTTAACTTTTCTCACTAATAGATGGCGTGATTTATTTGTAATATTTTTTAATTGGAAAGTTTTTTAATAGTAAATTTTCAAACATATATATATATATATATATATATATATATCAACGCCATAGTCCCACACTGAAATTTAAGTAATTAATGTATATTGGTGTTCTATATCATTGACACTCTAACAGTAAATTCGTATGGAAATCCCGAATTTGAAAGAATTGTGTGACTAAACTCAAAACTTTAGTGTCAACCCTCACCATCTTATATATTAATTATTTTCCACTCTATCTAACTTTACGACTATATATGTAAGTGAATATAATTTTAATCCAACTCAAAATGTAAGCTAAATAAAAAATAAATTAAAATATTTAATCTAATAATTCGTTAACTAATACAATATCGTTGACATGCCTACGTTGGACTTGAAAATATGTGTGTTTTACACGTGTGGAGGCAAGATATGTAGCGGGTATAATCCTTTCAAAGTGGAGGGCGGTGCCCACAGTAAAAAGTTGGGACTTTCTTTGTATGCAAAAGGTACAGCATTAACTGTTAAAAAAATATATATATGGTAAAGCAATAAAAAAAATATTTACATTAAAAAAAAATATACAAATTACATAAATCACCCATCAGGTTTTTAATTTATACTTGAAGATAGAATGTGGACCAGCAACCCTTGTAATTTCGTTGACCTATCAGTATCGCATATCCTTCAATCGCGATGCGTCAAACAGTGGGGATCAAAAAGGTTTTAGACTGAAATTACATAATCAGCCGAACAAAAGAACCCGTCTGCCTAATTGAATCACGTGACCCCACTTTTCCTCTTTCATGGACATCACATTTCGTCTCTCTCTAGTTTCTGTCTGTAACAACAATGGAGTCCCGAGTTCTCTCCGGCGCCAACACAATCTCTCTCCATCGATTTCTATCTCCTCTGCAATGCTTCCACCAATCGCCGCCATCTCCACCAATCGCCGCCACCACTATTCTACACAGACCTCCCCTGAGGTATTCAATCATTCCACTCAACGCTCAAATTCATCTATATTTCTACAAACATATGTGTGTGTATATATATATGTGTGGTTCAACTTATTCTTTCCGTTTTTGTATTTTAATCTTGTGGCTCTGCTTGCTAGTGGGGATGTGTTGGCTTTAGTTTTGTTCTCTGCAATCGGAAGTTTCAGTCATGGTGGTAAACCGGATATCTCTCTCACTCTCAATATAATAATACAGCAGTGGACTGGGTGTGGTGGACCGGAGACGGCGGTGGTGGGTGGTGGTTCGCTCGAGACTCGTCCACTAATCTAGAAATCAACTTCAATCTGGTTGGCTATGATTTCGAATCAGGGATTTTTTTTTTTTTTTTTTTTGCAACAATGCATTAATCTGGTTCCATCATTGTCTTCAAAAATTACTTATCTATATATATATATATATATATATATATATGTATATATTAGATGTATATGCATAGATCTACATCCTATGTGTGAGAGGAGTTAGAAAAGAGAAGGAGACAGTTTTTTCCCACCGATCAAAATGAGCTGCAAGTACAAGTACAAGGAAAAATGGTTTTATGCATTAGGAGGGGCAAAAAAGTAAAAAAAAAAAAAAAAACTGCTTTTTTCCATAATATTCAGGACCCTCTAGATTCCAACCCACTTTACTTTGCTGTTGAAGTCTCAAATTTTCTCGTTCTCATTCTAACAGTCAACCCTCACCCCATGGAAGGTAATACCTTTAATCTAATTTTCAAATTTTAGTTTCAGTTCAGTTTCAATATTAACTAATTCAGGGAAAGTCATGTAGATTATGTGTCTGTGTCTGTGTCTGTGTCAGTGTGTAGTAGATTTAAATCATTTGATTCCATTGTAGGGTTTTGATTTGTTGTCCTTTTAATATTTTATTGTTCTTCTAAAATCTTTGCTTGTTGCATCAGCAAAAACTGGTAATACAGTACGCTTAAGATGGACGATTGAGAAATTTACAAGGCTGAATACCAAGAGGGTATACTCTGAAAGTTTCTATGTTGGAGGATACAAATGGTAATTTTGATCTCTTCCCTCTTTCTAGATTTAGATTTTCATAATTATGGTTGATGTTTAAGTTTTTTTTTTTCCCTACTGCATTGTGTGAAAAAGGCATGTAATTATATATCCAAAGGGAAACAGGGATGCAGACCATTTGGGGATCTATTTAGATGTTGCGGATTCAGAAACTTTGCCATTTGGGTGGACTAAATACGTAAAATACAACTTCTCTGTGATCAATCATATTGATAACAAGTCCACAGTGAATAAAGGTGTGTTCTTTACAGTTTAATTTACAAATATCTATATATCTTGAATATATGCAAATGTAATTTCAAACATATATATATATGTATGCACACACATAGGCTTATATGTTGTGGGGAAAAATACTATTTATAGTTGCAGAATTTGTTCTTTTTGATGGTTTTATGTTACTAGAGGTTATTCTAATTGGTGTGTTACTAGATGTAATTCTATACGTAGTTTAACTTACAATTATTGAATGCCACAGGTATTCTAATTAGCATAAGCTTTAGGGTGGACATCTACTTGAAAAACATATTCAATCATTCAATTATATTATATTAGTACTTTAAAATAAATTTAAAAGCCTGTATTGAACACTATATTAGATAAAACATTACTTTACTCTAGAAAATAAAATAATGAAATAAAATGAATATTTAGCAGTGTCCATGTGTCTTAGAGATCTGACACGTCAAACACATGGATGCATGCCCGTATCCAACACACACACCCGAGTCCAGGTAACATAGATTATATGTTAAATATTTCGGTGTAAGGGGAAGTAAGGCTGCGGAAATTATATTTGGAAAATATTTGTTTATCAATGTGTTTATGACATGGTCTTTGAAATTGCTTGAGGTTGAATTTTCTTCTTTCATTCTTTTTCATTTTTCAGAACACGCTATTTATTTGGTGCTGGAAAGTGTGAATTTGGTATTATGTTCTTTTTTGTTCTCTGATGCAGTGCATTCTAGTTTCCTGATGGTGATTATTCATGCTCCGATCCCTTTACTATTGATAATGTTGTTGTGTTTCTATCATTGTTGTTATTGGGATAAAGAGGGACATATTGTTGAAATTTTAATTGGTAAAGTACTTAATTTTGGTGTTTAAAAATAAAAACATTGTATTTACTTTAAATGCCTAGCAGGTTGATATGGGATGGTCCTTCATTGAATAATTGACTGATAAGCCCTTCTTAAAAAAAAAAAAAAATGGAATATCCTTTCTTATTGTTTCCTGAAAAAAGCACTTTCAAAACCATAGCTGTACTAGTCTGTAGGATTTATATACTAAAAATATTGGTCTGTGCCTAGGTGGTGAGGTCCACTGCAGTTCTAGTTGTAGCCTACAGCCTTTGGTGATAGTTGTGACTGTTTTCTTTATGCAGGCTGTGAGCACCAGTTCCATTTACAACAAAATAATTGGGGTATCTCAAATTTCATGCCTCTTAGTGAACTGTATGACCTTGGTAGAGGTTATATTGTGAACGATACATGTGTAGTTGAAGTTGATTTTCCTGGCTTGCGTTCAGTTGAACTTAAGGTTGATGCGGCAAAGACTGCCTCGGCCAAAGGTGAAACTCCCAAGTCTACTTCTCAAGGGGATATTGATAGGAACACTAGACAGACTGCTTCTGGTACCGATACAATCCCGCCTCAAACTGATACCTTGGACCCTCCTCCTGCCAGTAAATCAGCAACCGAAGCAATCAAGACTTTGGTCCCCCAAACCACTCCAATTGTTGAAACGGAATCAAAGGTTAAATCCCCTCAGGCCAAAGATCCGGTCAGCAACTTTTTCTCCGGACTAGATCAACAATGTTTTGTTTTATTTTTTTCTTTGAAAGAAAAAACTTTTTGACCTGATGGAGAGTTGGTTTCTAAAAAGAAATTTTCTTTGTAATCTTTGTAGGAAGTTGAGTTGCCGAGGAGTACTCCAACGAGTGCTCCTCCTGAGTCATCTTCATTTGATGACATTGGTGGAATTTGGCATATCTTAACCAAACCCTTCGCATGGGCTCGATGCACACTTGTCTGGTCGGGAGAGGCTTACTTATCTTATAGGTTAGGTGCTTTAGCGGTTTTTGGTTTCATTGCTTGTTGCTTTGTCGGTTTCATTGCTTGTTGCTTTGTCTGGTTCAATAATCCCGCTTATCCTAGTGAGTTTTACGGACCCACTGGACCAGCAACTTCTCAAGCTCAAGCATTTACTTTTCTAGTCAGAGATGCCTGTATCTCCAAGTTAGTGTATGCAGCAGAGACTGATGCAATCTTTGACTCCACTACTGAAGGATCGGTCACGACCTCCATTCCTCAATTAACTATTGATGAAGCCAAAAATATCTTTATAGAGATGCTATCTCGGGACCTATCAGAAATTCCTTATTTGGCCGCACGCCTTACAGAATCCATCAGAGTCTTGTCACAGTGCTGTGACCTTACTCCAGCCCAGCTTGCAGAGTTGAACACCTTTAAGGTTGAGTTTCCAACACTTCTCCAAACTTACCAGACTTCCAATCATACTTTGAAGGAGGTTGAGGAAAAAATGGCAGAAAAGCAAGGAACAAAGAAGTCTTTGGTTGAGAAAATAAAGATTGATACATTTGCATTCCAAATGCAGAGGGCTATTCACACGGATTTGATATCGAAGGAGGCCAATCTGCAGGCTGACCTGACAAAGATCTCTGAGAAGAAGAGAAGTGCTGAGAAAGAGTTGAAGCAACTGCATGAAAAGATGGTTAATCTAGAACAGTCTAGATCCTCTGTTCTTGAGGAGATCTCAACTCTTGAGTCTGAGAAGAAGACTGCAGAGATCTCTTTGTCGTCGGTCCAACAAAAGTGGACTAAGCTTAGGAACATATTCATGGAACCAAACAATTAATCTCTTCTATTTGCGAGGCGATAAACATTTGTTGGGTACTTTGATATTGTCTATATAGGTTCTTTCATTTCATGTTTTTGGATATTCAACTTATATTTGGTCTGTTGGATTTATATTATGTACTTATTTCTGGTGATTATCTTTTGGACTTAATGCATGCATCACAACCTGAGAGTCAAGACACACATCTTTCCTTTTTCTTCTCTTTTTTGGTCCAGTCATTTATCAATTTCAATTCATTTCATAGGGTTGGTTTTTAAGGTACAAGAGATTTTTGTATATTGGATAGACTCTACCACCATCCAGGGCCGGCCCTGGCCCAAGCCGATCGCCTAGGGCCTCCTCAACATTTAGAGGGCTTCAAGATTTTTAGGCCCTTTAGTGATAGGTTCAAAAAAAAATAAAAATAAAATTAGGCCCCTTACCATGATTGATAGGCCCAAATAAAAAGAAAAAACCTAAGCCCCTTTCCATAAGTGACAGGCCCAAAAAAAAACTTTGAGCCCTTCAATTAAACAAATTCACAACCGGCCCTTAAAAACTTGGTGATTAAATTCGAAATTGAATATGGCCCTTTACTACTTTATGTGTACGTTAGTGTGTCTATATTAGTTATTAAAGTACCTCACATTTAAGTTCACTTAGGGCCTCTTAAGATTTTGTCAATCTGAGGACCGCCACCATCCACAAGAAAAAATCATTACAAAATAATATCCTAACCAAGGTAATATTTTCATTGGATACAGTTGTGGATGAAAGAAAAAAAAAAATATGAAGAAGAGAAATAGAAAGACCAAAAAGAGAGAAAAATAAAGAAGTTATATACTATAAACATAAGTGCAAAATGTAGAAGAAGAATTATTTTGAGAAGTATGGAAAAAAAAAAAAAAATGAAGAAAAATGAAAAAAAAAAAAAAAAAAAATTTGATTGAAAAAGGGAAATTTAACCTTTAATTTGAAAAGTAAAAGAGAAATAAAAGAAAAAGTTAAGAGCTTAGTCACACAAGTACCACATCAAAGTTGACCATATTCGGATATTATTGAAATTGATGTTGGATTCATTTTATTATACATGAAATTGGGAGGGAGAATGTAATAATTCAAAATATATGAAAGATACATGTAATAACCACCAACTAAAGGATTGTTAAATGTAATTTACCCAATTTATTTGAGAATATATGAACGCATTTTTATTTTGATTCTCATATAACTTCCTCACATAAAATGTCATTTTGTATGTCCATGTGCTTTGATCTAGAACAACTTGGATTCTAAACTAAAATTCTTACTCTGCAGCCAATAAAAATGAAATAAGAATTGAATTTGATGGGATTTTAAAATCTAAAATTTGGTTCCATAAAATTGAATTGGAGTTTATGAAATTTATTTTAGCCAAACTTACACTTTACTCAATTTGACTACTGATTTAGTATCTCAATTTTTTTTTTTTTTAATAGAGAATTTATTTTAAATTCACTCCAATTCCTAATTTCAGTAAAGATTTAATTCCATTAGTGAATACAAAACAATGTTCCTTGAAGATTCTCCTTTTTTTTCATATAAAACAAAATATTAGTATAACCTTTGGGGAAGGAGTTTAGGGCCATTTTGGTTGAAAAGAAATGGAAAGAAAAAAATAAATAAAAAAATAGAGGGGTATTATTTTTGGTGTTTGGTAGGAATATATTAATGCTTCGTTTAGTAGGAATAAAGGAAAAGGGGTGGATGGAAGACAGAAAAAGAGAAACAAACTTCTTTTACTTGGTAGAAAGGAGGCAGGGAGAGGAGAAAAGATGATGGATGAGTCTGATGAGTCATCCTTTTCTCTTCACAAATTTTCTTTCCCTAAGGCTTCGTTTAGATACACAAGATAGAAACGAAAGGAAATGATTATAAGAGAAAAGAAAAGAAAAGAAAAGAAAGGAAATGATAGCTATAATTTATATTCATGTTTGGATAGATAGGAGAGAAAAGAAATAAATAGATAATATTTTTGTTTAGATAACACAGAGGAGATAAAAGAAAGGAAAATAATAATTAAAATTGCTATTTTACCCTTTTTATGGGGTAAGTAGGACAAATCATTTCAGCCACCCCAAATGCCTCCATCTCTGTTGTAATGGGTTTTGTTTTAATTTTTTTTTTCTTTCCAAATCAACTAACCAAGTTTGTAATTTATAAGCCCATGGTCCATGAATCATTTCAGCCTCCCCAATGCCTCCATCTCTATTCTCATTACTCCCCCTCCCCCCCTATCTCTCTCTCTCTCTCTCTCTCTGCAACTGCTAACTTGTAAGTTGTATGTAATGGGTTTTTTTTTTTTTTTTTTTTTTCTCTAAATCAACTAACCATGGCCACCAGAATATATATATATATATATATATATATATATATATATATTTAGGGCAAATCATTTCATCCTCCCCAATTGCCTCTATCTCTATTCTCGTTCTCAACTCTGAACCTGCCCTCTCTCTCTCCCTCTGCAACTGCAAACTACAAAATCTACAAGAATCAGAAGTTCAAAACCCATATATTTCAGTATGTCTATTTGTCAAAGGGTATGTATATATATATATATATGTGTGTGTGTGTATATATATATATACATACATACAAATATATATATATATATATAAAGAAAGCAAATCATTTCAGCCTCCATCTCTCTCCCGTTCTCAACTCTATATTTGTATATATGTGTGTGTGTGTATATATATATACATACATACAAATATATATATATATATATATATATATATATAAAGAAAGCAAATCATTTCAGCCTTCATCTCTCTCTCGTTCTCAACTCTGAACTTGCCCTATCTCTCTCTCTCTCTCTCTGCAACTGCAAATTGAAAATATACAAGGCTAATTTTGTCTTTCTCATAAATTATACTGAAATTGTTTCCTTTCCCTTCAAATCTTTTCAAAATTGGAAGAATTTGATTATTCTGTATTGGGAAGGATTTGGAGGGATAGGCTATCCCTCCAAATCCTTCCCAATCCTTTCTTTTCTCTTCTATTCCCTCCATCCAAACACACCTATTCATATCCTTCCCTTTCTTTTCTCTCCAAATCCCTCTAAATCCTTCAATCCAAACGAGGCCTAAATATAGACAAAGGAAGAAAGACAATGCTTTCATAAATATTTTTAAATCACAATCCTTTTATTATTAATAGAAATTTATCTTTCCTTCTTTTCTAACAAACAAAATAATGTATTATTAGTGGTAAAGATTGAATTAACTTGACTTCAATTATTAAAACAATAATTACATACTAACAATGACTTTATTACTGGTAAAGATTGAATTTACTTTACTTCTATTTCTATTATTGTTTTCCAAGGTAATCAAATAAATAATACTAGTAGTTTGGAAGGTCTAACTAATTGAAAACTCTCCCTCTATATTATTAGTATACAAATTTTGAGGGAGATAAGTATAATTTGACAAATAAGAGGAGAGATCAGTGTATGTTGATGAAACCTCAAGGGAGGTCTGTAATTATCCCAAAATAAAAATGATAAAATTGTTTAATGAAAAAGAGTTACCTAAAATATTGAACCTATTCAGAAAACAATTTTAAAAAATCCAAATTCTAGATTCATTCAAACTTAATACCACTAAAAACACTTATAATAGTTACCGAATACATCTAAACGAAAAACATGTTAGGGTTTCGTGGTGGCGCGAGTATTTTACCTAACAAAAAACAAAAAGCATCTTTGGAGTTCAATCTTCTCCCTCTAGTTTCCAAAACACTATACGTCCACCACATAATCCCTCAACCCATGAAAGGTATTGCCTCTAAAGTAGAACAAATTTACCAGAAGTCATTTACGTATATGTGTTTGAAGTGTTTTGTTTGTATATGTGTATGTGTGTACGATAAATATGATTCAATTAGGGTCAGTTTGGTAGAGTGGAAATGGGAGGAAAGGGAAGGGAAGGTGATGGTGGGTGATTAAAAAATTGTGTTTGGGTAAAATGGGTGGAAGGAAAGGAGAGTAGAGGGAATGGTTTGGAGGGTTATGTATAGCTTTGTACAGTAATTTGTTTATCCTCCCAAAAATGGGGGAAAATGGAGGGAAAGGGAAGGCAATGGCTGATGGAAGAGTTGTGAAGCCCATTTTACCCTCAAAATTACACAAGTTTGCAAAACAATATACATACAAGTTAGTAGTTGCAGAGAGAATGAGAGACGGCGGGCCAGTGGCTGACGTTGAACCCAAACGGGAACAGCGGCGATGGAAACTGAAAGATATGGGTTTTGATTTTCTGAACAATCTGAAGTGATATACCGATCCGGGTATTGAACTTTTGATTCTTACAGACAGATAGAGAAACTGAAATATATGGGTTTTGAACTTCTGATTGTTGTAGTACAGAGAGAGAGAGAAACTAAAATATATGGTTTTGAACTTCTAATTGTTGTAGTGCAGAGAGAGAGAGGGCAAGTTCAGAGTTAAGAACGAGAATAGAGATGAAGGCGAGATTAGAGAGGCTGAAATGATTTGCCCAATTTTTTTTTCTTTTCTTTTCTTGTTATAAGAGTATATGTGTGTATATATATATATATATATATATATATATATATATATGTAACAACCCACTCCACCACATGGTATGATATTGTCCGCTTTGGGCTTGAGCTCGCACGGTTTTGCTCTTGAGTTTCACCTCAAAAGGTCTCATACCAATTGGAGTGACACACCTACATATAAACACTTCACCTTTCCTTTACCCAGTCGATATGGGACTGCGCACCCGTAGCTCTCCAATGTGGTAGCCTGACAGTGTCTCGCACCCTCCCACGGCACACTTGCCCACAAGGTCATCACAATCCACCCCCCTTGGAAGCCCGATGTCCCCGTCGGCACACTTCCGGCTAAGTCAGGCTTTGATAACATTTGTAACGACCCACTCCACCACATGGTATGATATTGTCCGCTTTGGGCCTGAGCCCGCACAGTTTTGCTCTTGGACTTCACCTCAAAAGGTCTCATACTAATTGGAATGACTAGGGATGGCAACGGGGCCGGGTTTAGGTGGGTGTACCCTCCC